ACAGAAAGACCCTGGTTTTGGAGCTTTGGGAGGCCCAAAACCTCAATTCTCTCACTTCCATGCGGGTCTGGGGGGGGCGGGCAGTGACAGTTATGGAGCTTTGGGAGGCCCAAAACCTCAATTCTCAGGCCTTTTTGTCACTCCAGCTTTGGGAGGCCCAAAACCTCAATTCTCAGGTCTTTTTGTCACTCCCATACGGGCCTGGGGGAGGGGGCGGGCAGTGACAGAAAGACCCTGGTTTTGGAGCTTTGGGAGGCCGAAAACCTCAATTCTCAGGTCTTTTTGTCACTCCCATGCGGGCCTGGGGGAGGGGGCGGGCAGTGACAGAAAGACCCTGGTTTTGGAGCTTTGGGAGGCCCAAAACCTCAATTCTCAGGTCTGTTTGTCACTCTTATGCGGGCCTGGGGGGGGGGGGGGCAGTGACAGAAAGACCCTGGTTTTGGAGCTTGGGAAGCCCAAAACCTTAATCTCACATTCTTTTTTGGTCACTCCCATGCGGGCCGGGGGGGGGGGGGCAGTGACAGAAAGACCCTGGTTTTGGAGCTTTGGGAGGCCCAAATCCTCAATTCTCGGTCTTTTTGTCACTCCCATGCGGGCCTGGGGGGGGCGGGCAGTGACAGAAAGACCCTGGTTTGGGAGGCCCAAATCCTCAATTCTCAGGTCTTTTTGTCACTCCCATGCGGGCCTGGGGGAGGGGCCGGGCAGTGACAGAAAGACCCTGGTTTTGGAGCTTTGGGAGGCCCAAAACCTCAATTCTCGGTCTTTTTGTCACTCCCAAGGAGGGCGAGCAGTGACAGAAAGACCCTGGTTTTGGAGCTTTGGGAGGCCCAAAACCTCAATTGTCGGTCTTTTTGTCACTCCGATGCAGGCCTGGGGGGGGGGGGGGGGGGGGGGCAGTGACAGAAAGACCCTGGTTTTGGAGCTTTGGGAGGCCCAAATCCTCAATTCTCGGTCTTTTTGTCACTCCCATGCGGGCCTGGGGGGGGCGGGCAGTGACAGAAAGACCCTGGTTTGGGAGGCCCAAATCCTCAATTCTCAGGTCTTTTTGTCACTCCCATGCGGGCCTGGGGGAGGGGCCGGGCAGTGACAGAAAGACCCTGGTTTTGGAGCTTTGGGAGGCCCAAATCCTCAATTCTCAGGTCTTTTTGTCACTTCCATGCGGGCCTGGGGGAGGGGGCGGGCAGTGACAGAAAGACCCTGGTTTTGGAGCTTTGGGAGGCCCAAAACCTCAATTCTCAGGTCTTTTTGTCACTCCCATGCGGGCCAGGGGGGGGGGCGGGCAGTGACAGAAAGACCCTGGTTTTGGAGCTTTGGGAGGCTCAAAACCTTTCTCAGGTTTTTTTGTCACCCCCATGCGGGCCTGGAAAAAAAAAGGGCAGTGATAGAAAGACCCTGGTTTTGGAGCTTTGGGAGGCCCAAAACCTCAAGTCTCACATTTTTTTGTCACTCCCAGGCGGGCCTGGGGCGGGGGGGGGGGGGGGGGTCAGTGACAGAAAGACCCTGGTTTTGGAGCTTTGGGAGGCCCAAAACCTCAATTCTCAGGCCTTTTTGTCACAGGAGCCTTGGGCTTCGTTTTAGGGCTTGGGGTTGGGTCTTAGCATGGTTTGGGGGGCGTTTTGTGGGTAGTTGAAGGGTCGCAGGCATTGTGGCTATCATGCACTGAGGCACAAATCCTTATCATGGTTAAGTGATTCCTTGTTGTGGTTAAAAGAATGGGTCTTTATTGCGGTTACGACCCCGCCTCCTGTGTGTATACATACATACATACATACATACATACATACATACATACATACATACATACATACATACATACATACATACATACATACATACAGACAGACAGACAGACAGACAGACAGACAGACAGACAGACATACACACATACACACATACACACATACACACATACACACATACACACATACACACATACACACATACACACATACACACATACACACATACACACACACATACACACATACATACATACATACATACATACATACATACATACATACATACATACATACATACATACACACACATACACATACACGTACACATATACATGTACATATACATATACATATACCAAGACATATATATATATATATATATGTATGAATATGTATATGTATATGTATATGTATATGTATATGTATATGTATATGTATATGTATATGTATATGTATATGTATATGTGTATGCACTTGTTTATATTTCTGTTTATACTTCGTGTTGTGTTCATCTGTTAATTTTTGATGTAAGTAAATAAGAACAGAAGCATACAGATATACGTATATATATATATATATAGAGTTGTATTTCCTTATATTTATGTTCCTTCATTTCCTTTTATATGCATATCCAAGTGTACAAGTCAAGAGTCGGAGAGTGCCTCCTTCGGAGAGGATCGAAGCAATGCAGGGACCAGTAGCGACCGAGGTGAAGTTCTCACAGAAAGCATGTCTTTTTTCTCAGGGTGCAGAGTGTAGAGTTTCGGTTTGGGGATTTAGGCTTGTGGGTTTAGATCCCAGGCATTGAGCTTTGTAGGCCTCCAGAGTTCAGGGCTTTGTAGAGTTTGGAGACGCCGGGAATTGTAGAGTCGCTTTAGGGCTCCGGTTTGGGCGGGGGTTTTCAGGGTTTGGGTGGGCTTTGGGTTTCAAGGTTTATGGCACTTCAGCGTGTGAGGGCATTTTTCAAACAAGTTCCTTTGAAGGTGAAGGCCTTGGCCCAACTCAGTTTGACATTTCAGTGCCCCGGTCTGACTAAACCGTCATCATCATCCTCCTCCTCATCATCATCAGTGTTGTCATCATCATCAGCAGCAGCAGCGGCGGCAGAGCGCAGCATAGTTATGCAAACTATATCTCCTCAATGTAGCGCCATTTCCCGAGCTGGCGCCAGGCTGAACTTGCGCGAGTGCGTATGTTGGAGCGAGAACAGATCGCCTGCTACTGAGAGTGCGTGTCCGCGTGCCAAGTCGACTAACTGCGACTTGGAGGCTGTTCGGGTAGAGCCTTAGACTCAGGGCCTGGCTTCGTTGCAAATCGTTGCAGCATTGATTGAGGTATGAGGTATGTTTCTTTATATTAGTGCACTGAGGCACTTGAGGAGGCAGCCAAGAGCCGAGCCGAAGTGCAAGAGGCTGCAATTTCTTTGCGACACATTGCGGTGTACTGCGGAGCGTTGCAGCGTCTTTTCATGGCTTTTGCCGGGCTGCACTGGGCGCTCGCCAGGCGCTGGCGAAGGCAAAGCGAGAGCTCTCCGACAGGGAGGAACGCTTGCGGCAGCGCGTGGCTCTTGGGACTGTGATCCTTTCAGAGGAGTGTGGACCTGCCAACGGTCCATAGCACTTGGCTTGGAGTTCGGGCATGCCATCAGTGATCAGGTGAACGATTGGCGACTGAACGCACTCGTGCCAAGGCTTGTGTGGTTGTTGGGGGTCTATAGGCTAGTACTCGGCGAACGTGAAGTTCTCGGTGTACCGGGATGCACCTGTGACGGGCAGGAGTTAGATCTTGAGAAGAAGGCTGTGCAGGACCCAGCAAACACCAAGCCACTGTTGTGTCTGCAACCTTCAGTGCTGAACAAACGCTGGAAGAGCAAACGAACGATTTGCCGGTCGTGCGTGTTTGTTTGTTGCTCTTGCTGTGAGGGCTTCACGCGACCTTGAAACCCAAAACCCTGGACCGTAACGCTCTCTCAGGTTGAGTGGCGAGCCAATGCCCAGCAAGTCATCGACGAGGAGCAAATGCGTGCGGCTTAGGCCCCTGCACAGCTACCTGGAGATCTCTTGCAACTATCATTCAAGCATGTCAACGACCATGAACAACCATGCAAGGGCCGCAGTCTCTAAAGTCCTTCAGAGAATTTGCAGGGTGCGAGATCCCAGAGACCCACGCAGTTAAGGCGCCAGTCGACCAGGGCAAAGCACCTGGATGTGGAAGACAAGCGCGAAGCACTCAACAGAGCGAGCCATGTGCTGCAGCTGCCCACTGCCTTCCTACAAGGCCTCCAGATGTTAAAGGAAGGGCTGGATCGTCGAGAACAAGAGGTACGACTTGCGGAGGCAGACCGACAGTGCACCAGCACATGCGAGCAATAGACATGATACTGGGAGCCTGATCTTCCGATCTGTGTGAGTGCAAAGCAAGGGTCCTTGAACCGAAGGCAAGAGACATCAACTCCCATCCCTCGCCCGAAACCCAGGAGAGGAATTCTGCAGCGGCAGCCGAGCTGACACGACGCGCGGAAGAGACTCGGGAGTCCGCGAAGGCAGCTGCGCAGGCAGCACCGGCCTCAGAATCGGGGTTACTCATCCAAGGGGGGGCGGTACGTGCGTTTGGTTTGGGTTTCTTGTTAAGAGTACAAGGTACTAGAAGAATGAGGAATACAACTGGTAGAGTGTAGATCATGCGCTATGTTTCTTCGGGGCCATTTCAAGAGGCATGATCTTCATGCGAAGATTTTCGAATCAGGTACGATGGGTGTGTCCCTTGATCGGACGTACACGCTGTACAAGCGGAACAGGTTTATGATGATGGATGTCAGCTATGTCGCTTTCTCACGTCAGTGCTCGTCGACTCTGGCCTGCTGAGTGCTGAGAGCTAGTAGTGGCAACAACCTGAACTTAAAGTGAGCATAGGACAAGCTGATCGCAATTAAAACAGAGATCCTCAGGAGACCTGCTCTTGCCGCTGGGATCTTGAAAGAGTCTGCCACGTCTGCCAAGTTGAACTCTCGCAAGAGTCCAACCCAATTCTGTACTGAGCCCATTGTGGGCAACCTCTAGCAAGCAAATGCGAAAGTCAGAAATGCCCAACGGAATGCATGTGCTTGGTGCGCGTGTCAAAGCTTGCGTTTCTAAGGCATGTGTGAAGTGCCAATCTTCTTCGTAGCACAGCGTGCCTTTCCTAAGAATCTCAAGGCTGTGGCAGCAGAGCGCGAGGAGCTGCGCCAGGCGCAGTTCAGCCTTGAAAGGCCGCGAAGCCGAAGTTTTGCCTTGACGGTTTGAGATGAGAGCCATCCGCAGGGAGAAGGTGCAGATGGCCGGCATTCGAGATCATCAAGAAGCCTTGAAGGTCTCATGTGCATGAATCAATGCTGTCTCCTGCCGAAGTTGAGAAGTTGAGGACAGGCTGGTCGCTGAGACAGCAGAGGCGGAAAGAAGCGCCAACCAGGCGAGAGCCTCTCTCAAGCGCTGACTCGTACCTCGTACCATCTCGTACCCCGTACCACGTTGCAGAACACCATGCCAGCCAATGCGGAAGCTGCCATCTTGGGAGGCCAGGAAGGATGCCAGGGCTGCAGAAGAGGGCTGTTCGGCAAAAGCTCGGGCCCGGAGCCTCAGAGCATTCGCGCGGCTCAAGCGGAGAAGGCGCCAAAGCGACAGATGATCTCTGCCAGAGGAGCTCGAAGATGCCCGTGAGCAGATTCAGCTCCTCAAGGTTGCTGGGCAACAGGCGCGGGGGACTGTTTCAAGAGAGGCGCTGTTCCAGCTCTGACAAAGAGGAGAAGAGTTCTAGGTACTAAGGCTCTCTGTTTTACGATGTCTAGGCAAGGTCGTTGAGTCCAGTTCGCCTCTGAAGGTCGTTGCATTTCAGCAAGAGCTGGAGTCCCTCAGGACAGAAAAGACGGTGGCTGGCTCGGACCGACGCATCTGAAATCACCATTGACGGGGTTGCAGTGGAGAGCTGACCTGTGCCCCAGGCCCTGCGGCACATGTTTGAAACAGAGAAGCAGGCCGAGTGGAGACATCTTCTTGCATGAGGGCCGACTGCACATCAATCGGGGCGCAACACACGTGAACCGTAGGCGCACAGCCGCGCCGAGTCAGACCTCGGTCAGCTCCAGCTGTGCCCTTAGCTTCGGGGCACGAAGATTTGCACATCAGCAACAAACCGCCGAGCTGCAACCAGGTCAGTCATTCTCGGAAGTAAGGGCGAGAGCAAGCAAGAGAGGTCTGCAAGTATAGTAGATCTGCAGCCATCAAACAAGGAAGGACAAGACCCGCCTTTGTTCAGAAGTCGACGCAGCCCCAGAGATTGAAGACAAATCAACAGTTGTTGTTGGCAGCTGGCATTCTCGACGGAGTGTCAGCTCAGGAAGAGCTTCGACGCCAGCATGCGCAGTTGGAGGCTCTTAGCTAACGCCAAAGGCTCTCATGAAGTCGGAAGACATGTAGACCTTCGATTCTGAAATCCTTGTCCGCGAACTTTCGAGAGTTCACCCTTTGCAACTCCCGGACCGGCAAAACTTGCGATTTGGATCCTGCATTGGACTCTGCACCCCAACTGCTCTGCACATTCCTGTCGAGACACTTATTTCGAATTCACACAGTAGTTCACCCCAGTGCTGCCATTGAACCCCAAGCATCCCTGAGCCTCTTCAAGCTGCATCAGGACAAGCTCCTTGCGGCGGAGAGCGCCCCGACCGCGCTGGCTCGGCAGCTGCAGGAGACGCGCTCCCGGCTCTCCACCGAGGCAAAGGGGCTTCTTCGGGTTTGGGTTTCGGGGGTCTTTGGGGCTCCAAAGCTTAGAGCGTGCCGCACAGAAGAGCATGGAGTGCACCTTGTGAGCGCGAGTCAGACCTTCCCACCCAACGACCCCCACTTGCGACCTTGCGATGTGGCACAGATGCAAAATGTTTAAAAAAATATTTAAAAAAAGAAAGCTTGCCATGGCCCGCAAACTTTTTGGATTGGGCTTGGCCAAAAAAAGGGTGAGCCCTAAGAGCCTTCAGCTTGTGGAGGAATTGCAAGGCCTTCGTTCTAGTAGACATTGCGCCGTGGACCAGTGAATACCAGGGGCCTCCGAAAGGGGACCCGGGAAACAATCCGGGCTTCGTGACTCGCTGTGTGCTGACCATTGCACACCCCAAAAGGGCGGAAGGCGTGTTTGTGGATGCCCGGTCTGGGCTTTGAAGTTATCAAGGGCCGGCAAGACCTGGATGTCCCAAAGCCAGGCCTCGGAAACCGAGAGGCTGCGGCAGCAGCTCCAGGCATGCAAGGGCTGGGGCACGTCTCTGATGTGAGAGGCTTCATCATGATGATCATGATGATCATGATGATCATGATGATCATGATGATGATCCATGATTGCGTTCAGGTGGCAGAGCAAAAGGCCGCACCACAAAAAATGCCGGGAGCCTGTTGGGTCAGCCCACTCAGCCACCGCAGTCCTTCGTGAGCACGTTCCTGGCGAGGTGGGTAAGTGCTCTCCAGAACCTGGAACAAGAGCTGCAGCCCTGGAGCTGCGAAGACAAGTCTCAATGCAGTACACCAGTAGTACACACCTGCATGCGGGGGATTGAATTAAATTGGTTTCTAAGTTGCGATTCTGATGTAAGGTACTCGTGAGGGGACCAGAATTTGGATCAACTCTCATGTGCTCAGGATCTTCTCTGGCTTCAGTCCGGACATGGAGGTTGGGAAGGCCGAATCCTTCTTCTTCCTCTTTCCAGTGTCCAGGTTTAGGGAGCCAAGTCGAGCCCAGCGACTCCTCTCAGTGTCTGAAGTCGCGGCACGACAATATGTTGTGGGGGGGGGGGGGGGGGGGCAGTCCACAAGAAGAATGGCCATCAGGGCTGGTGATGTCGGGCTCCAGTATCGCCAGTGAGAAGGGATTGGGGGCATGCAGCCTGCAGTGAACCTAGAGGGGGCCCACTGCGAGGTGCAGAAGATACTCCATAGGCCCAAGGGCACCAAGGCTCTGACTGAAGCTTAGCCACAGGGCAGGGAAAGTGGAAGCCTGGATCACACTGCATGGGTGCGTCCGTCGATTCTGTACGGACTCAAAAGAGGCCCTTTTCAAGTTTGGGATTGTTGCTGCAATGCGTTCGGTGGAAGGCGAGACGAAGCCGGGCACTGGAGGAGAGAACGCTCCAGCTGGAGCGGGAGATCAGCGCCTTCGAGCAGCGCCACAGGAGGGAGCCCTGACAGTTAGCTGAATACTTAAGTCGAGAATGTATACTGTGCACAGGACAAGGCGGCCACTTGACGTGCCGTGGCGACAGCCTCAGAGCCTCAGACTTGCAACTGGGGGCCTGTGGATACTTGTTGATTGGCCCCGTTGAAGTGGAATGTGTCATGATTCATCAGGTCTGACGATGAGGCAGAGGCTTTTGCCGAGGACATCCCCGGCCTGTCACAGCAACGCTCTCTGACATGCAACAGTTGGCACGTGAAAGTGTTATTGGATCTGTCGTGACATTCTTAAAAAGCTCGAAACATGCACTTAGCTTGAATCAGCTTGGCGATTTTCGTAGCATCTGTGAACTGGAGGGGTCTGCCTCTGACTGCAGAACTGTCATAGCAAGTAACTCGGCTGAAATCATCACCCTGGACATGCTGGACGATTCGGATGACTCTATGCCATGCCATGATAAGATGGCCGGAAACGACGACAACGCTTTTCAATCGAGCATGTTCTTGTTCTTACTATTCCATCGACGTGAGCCTGGAGGCTGCTCAAGATGTGCTCCATTTACTAGGCACACTGCCTAAGTTCCGTCGTAGAGGAGCCACTCCAGCCACTGCCTTGCATGGAGCTCAGCAAAGTGGGCAGCTTCCTGGGCGGTTGCCACATGTAAGTCGAAGGAAGTAATATTGTGTTGCGCAGATCACTTGACCACCTGGGCAGCGCAGCCGGCTCAGCTTTTCCAGTTTTCGACCTCCTTGCACACAGTCACAAGTTCTCGCGAGGTCTCCATCGCGGAGCGCAGCACTTGCCAGGGACAGCCCCGCGACTGTACGCGCGCCGGGCACACCATGGTCGACGGCGGATCCAGGGGCACCAGCTTCTAAGTGGCACTTTGATATTTGAGTCACATCATGTCACGGCGTCTGCACTGTTTTCAGATGTCGTCAGTGTTCTGCATGCCCCTGCCGGCACAAGTTGAGGCAGTGTCCTCTATGTCTGGCGCTTGAGTGCTGCAACTCCATACAACTCCACTCCCAGCCCTCGCACGAATGGGATTTTTCCTGAGATTGTCTGTGTACTTTTGTTGCCTGAGGCCAGGTGGCGCTTTCGGTGAGTGGCTGCTTGGCTGCAGCCAGATCATGGCTCCAACCTCGAAGTCCTCTCCTGGCAAAGGACAGCTACCCCTGGGCGTCCCTACGCCTCGACGGAGCGCTCTGGTGAACGGTCTTTTGAGTTGTGTACAAACTCGACCGGTTCTGTGGTTTTTTGGACTCAGAAGGAGCTAGAACTTCTGCAAGTCACAGGCCGAACAGATTTGGACAGCACGTCAGAAACATCTTCAAACCCTTCAACGCCACAAGGCGCCGCGCCAGCTTCAAGGCAGCCCGCAGAGGACGGAGAGACAATCTGCAAGTTTAGGGGGCCAAGATTCAGAGTGGGCTAAGCTTGCCTTGCTTCAGGATGGCCAGCAGACTCTGATGCCGCATCTCAGGCCTTGACAGCTTGCAAACGCTGCGTGGACAGCCAAGAGTTTCACGGAGCTGTGAGAAGATGGGCGTCTGCCAGAGGCCTTCTGCTGGGCATAGCCCACCGGGTCCACCGGGCCCTGCAGTGGAGGCACGTGCCCTCTTGAGCTAGCTTAGCCCCGTTCGCAAGCTTCGTTTGTTAATGTATGAAGTTCCTTTCAGAAACCTTTCCAGCCATTAGCTCGTGAACAGCCACAAGCTTCTGCCCTGCCTGCCACCTTCTTATTGCTAACCTGAACTGTTTTGCCATCTACTGGCTGTGTGTTGAGCCATGGGTGTCCGACATTTCAATTCAACCTCCACAGTTTGTTTGTTCAAACGAAGTCTGAGTGCTGTCCGATATGGCACCGACATGTCATCACTGACTCCGATGCCAGGGGCCGGCGGAGGCTGAGCGCCCTGCTAGCAAGGCCTGTCACACTCATGCAAGTCTGGCGCATGCCGCACGCATCCTGTTGGAGGTGCCAAGCCAAAGCCCAGCTCCGGCTCCGGTTGCTGTGCAAAAGGCCACTGGCTGCAGTTCACAATGGCATTCACAGGACCTACGGCCAATCTACGAGCCTTCGCAAGAAGTCATGGATTGTCATGGGACTGCTGTGTGATGAGAGATGCAGTGGCCAGTCGATGGCATGCCTACTGCTGATTGTCTGCGAAAATCTAGACTCAATCTCCGAATGAATGAATTAAAGCTCTTGCTGGAACACATTTGATAGTCCTCAAGTTTAAAGACTATCTGTCCAAACAGTCTTTATCAGTTAACAAGTACATATGTGCAGTCAAAGAGGCTGGCGACCACGTGCGCCCCTTCAGTGAGGCCTGTCGCACGCGTGCAAGTCTGGTGCATGCCGCGCGCATCTTGTTGGAGGTGCCAAGCCATAGCCCAGCTCCGGCTCCGGTTGCTGTGCAAAAGGCCACTGGCTATACTGGCTGCAGTGCAAAAGTTGCGATCACAGGCTTTTGCATGCGGGTGTTGGTTGGGTAGGTCGCCGTCCAAAGCGCGGAGACCGCGCCGACGGCGCCGAGCGCGCCGACGGCGCCGAGCGCGCCGAGCGGGCCGAGCACGGTGGAGGCTTCGGAGGCTTGCCGAGTCACACTTGTGTCATCCAGGGACCAACAGTCTGTCGAGATTGTTTGGACTAGTTTGCCACGTGCGGCTGCTTAGCACTGACATGGTTCAAAGACGCACCAAACGAGCAGTAAAGTTGACAGCGCGGCATCGTGTCAAGCCGTCCGGCAGCAAAAAATGCACCAGTGAATGCGTGGATACTGTGTCGTTTTGGTACCTGAATGTACCTGATGTACCTCATCATTCAACGAGCCTTCGCAAGAAGGGAGTCATGGGACTGCCGTTTGATGAGATATGCAGTGGCCAGTCGACATCATGGTTTCCTTGGCTCCTCTTCTGCTCATTTTCTGCCACATGCAATGGCGTGCAGTCCAAATCTGGTGTCAGGTGCACAGAGAGGCTGGCGACGACGTGCGCCCGACCAGTAAGGCCTGTCGTGTTCGAGCAAGTCTGGCGCGCGCCGCGTGCATCCTGTTGGAGGTGCCAAGCCAAAGCCCAGCTCCGGCTCCAGATGCCGTGCCAAAGGCCACTGGCTGTAGTTCCACACTGGCATTAGCAGGATGGTGGTCTAGGTCATTGCTCTTCCACTGGCTGGGTAGGTGCCAAGCGGCAGCGCCATTCAAAGTGTCAAAGAGGCCAGGCACCCTGCCGGGCAATCTACGAGCCTTCGCCAAAAAAAGACAATCATAAGACTGATGTGGGATGAGAGATGCTGTGCCGTTCAGTGAGGCCTGTCGCACGCGTGCAAGTCTGGTGCATGCCGCGCGCATCTTGTTGGAGGTGCCAAGCCATAGCCCAGCTCCGGCTCCGGTTGCTGTGCAAAAGGCCACTGGCTATACTGCCGCGCCGACGGCGCCGAGCGCGCCGACGGCGCCGAGCGCGCCGAGCGGGCCGAGCACGGTGGATGCTTCGGAGGCTTGCCGAGTCACACTTGTGTCATCCAGGGACCAACAGTCTGTCGAGATTGTTTGGACTAGTTTGCCACGTGCGGCTGCTTTGCACTGACATGGTTCAAAGACGCACCAAATGAGCAGTAAAGTTGACAGCGCGGCATCGTGTCAAGCCGTCCGGCAGCAAAAAATGCACCAGTGAATGCGTGGATACTGTGTCGTTTTGGTACCTGAATGTACCTGATGTACCTCATCATTCAACGAGCCTTCGCAAGAAGGGAGTCATGGGACTGCCGTTTGATGAGATATGCAGTGGCCAGTCGACATCATGGTTTCCTTGGCTCCTCTTCTGCTCATTTTCTGCCACATGCAATGGCGTGCAGTCCAAATCTGGTGTCAGGTGCACAGAGAGGCTGGCGACGACGTGCGCCCGACCAGTAAGGCCTGTCGTGTTCGAGCAAGTCTGGCGCGCGCCGCGTGCATCCTGTTGGAGGTGCCAAGCCAAAGCCCAGCTCCGGCTCCAGATGCCGTGCCAAAGGCCACTGGCTGTAGTTCAACACTGGCATTAGCAGGATGGTGGTCTAGGTCATTGCTCTTCCACTGGCTGGGTAGGTGCCAAGCGGCAGCGCCATTCAAAGTGTCAAAGAGGCCAGCCACCCTGCGGGCAATCTACGAGCCTTCGCAAAAAAAAGACAATCATAAGACTGATGTGGGATGAGAGATGCTGTGCCGTTCAGTGAGGCCTGTCGCACGCGTGCAAGTCTGGTGCATGCCGCGCGCATCTTGTTGGAGGTGCCAAGCCATAGCCCAGCTCCGGCTCCGGTTGCTGTGCAAAAGGCCACTGGCTATACTGGCTGCAGTGCAAAGGTTGCGATCACAGGCTTTTGCATGCGGGTGTTGGTTGGGTAGGTCGCCGTCCAAAGCGCGGAGACCGCGCCGACGGCGCCGAGCGCGCCGACGGCGCCGAGCGCGCCGAGCGGGCCGAGCACGGTGGAGGCTTCGGAGGCTTGCCGAGTCACACTTGTGTCATCCAGGGACCAACAGTCTGTCGAGATTGTTTGGACTAGTTTGCCACGTGCGGCTGCTTAGCACTGACATGGTTCAAAGACGCACCAAACCAGCAGTAAAGTTGACAGCGCGGCATCGGAAGTCCGTCAATTCGACTGAGAAACGGTGTTTTGCGCAAATCTTTTCCATGCTGTCAAGCCGTCGGGCAATATAGACTGCACCAGTCAATGCGTGGTCTGGCTAAGCCTTTGGTCCGATACTGTGTCGTGTTGGTACCTGATGTACCTCATCATATTTCGCAAGAAGGGCGTCATGGGACTGCCGGTTGATGAGATATGCCGTTTGATGAGATATGCAGTGGCCAGTCGACAGCATGGTTTCCTTGGCTCCTCTTCTACTCATCTTCTGCCACATGCAATGGCGTGCAGTCCAAATCTGGTGTCAGGTGCACAGAGAGGCTGGCGACGACGTGCGCCCGACCAGTAAGGCCTGTCGTGTTCGAGCAAGTCTGGCGCGCGCCGCGTGCA